AGTTGCAACTCATAGCAACCCCATCTATGTAAGAGTAGAACTGTGCCCCATAAGGTTTCAATAGTTTTCAGAAGGAGGCAGCCTGGCCTTTCTTTCAAGGCACCTCTGGGTGGACTCAAACTTCCCACCCAAGCACTTCAAAAGAAACAGAGTAGTTACTAAAAGAACCAGAAACCAAAACCACTGTCATCGAGTCAATGACAGTCATCGAGTCAATTCCAACTGGACCGACAGCAACCCCTATTGGGTTTCCAAGGTAATAAATCTTTATGGAAATAGATTGCCCCATCTCGCTCCCCTCCCCCCTCCTCCACAGAGTGGCTGGTGGGTTTGAACACTAACCTTCTTGTTAGCAATCAAATGGCACTGCACCACCAGAGCGCCTTACTAAAAGAACAGGTGTCTGCAACGGAAGGAATTTTGGCCCAGGGACATGAAGTGAGAAGTGCTAGTGATGTTGCTTCTAGTCTCTGCTCTCCTGTTGCCATGACCACGGGCAACACAGCAAGGCTTCCTAGACCTCACTTTCCTCTTGTGGGAGATCTGTAAGAGTCCATCCAGAACTAAGATTTTATATATTTAAAAAAAACACTTCCCAGTGATTGCTTTTTTCCCACTCATCTGTAAAACATAAAGGCCAAAACTGAACTCATTAAGCTTGGAGGCCAGGGCTAAATTAACAAAAGTAAAAGTAGCTATGATTTGTAGGAGAAAAATCTAGATCTGCACATTCAATAAATCCACTCAATGTGGCTCTTTCAAGGGGAAGAAAAATGGCAGCACCTCAAGTAGGGATACTACACAGGTGAGGAGAATGGGGGAAGCTACTAAGATGATTGTGGCCCGTGGTCAGGAAAGCAGCCGGGCCCAGCTCTGCTGCATGTCAGTTAATACAAATCTAACCTTGCTGGAGCTAGGGAGAATTTTTTACCACCGAAGGGAGAAAACACTGCCGTGTGAAGTCACCGAGCTAAGCAAGTGAGAGTCTAGAGAAAAAGGCTAGGCACCTCTGAAGGCCTGTGCCCGACCACTGACACCCTTAAGCCCTATTTGGAAGTTCTCAGTTCACCACTGCAATCCCCTTTGGATATTTCCTAGTAACTTCCCTTAAAGTTCCACGTCCTGGCTTGGGATCCCCAAAGGCACCACTGTTATCACATCCAAAACCAGTTGAGTCAGTTCTGACTCATGACGACCGCATGTGTTTCGGAGCAGAACTGTGCTCCACAAGGTTTTCAGTCCCTGATTTTTCACAAGTAGATCAGCAGGCTTTTTTTCTGAGGTACCTCTGGGTGTATTCAAACCTCCAACCTTTGGCACAACAGCCAAGGACCACCCAGTGGTGCCAATATGACTCTACTATCTACAAGAAGTTCCAAAGAGTCATTTCAAGAGCAGTTGACTCTGAGTTCAGAGAAGTTAGATCATAAAATCAAAACATATGGGGACTCCTATGTTAGCATGTGTTGTCGTAACAGCCCACGGGCCTGTATTTATTCCTAGTGTGCAGATGGCATCAGTGGCAATGGGACATGCATTTGTGAGGATGACTTCCAAGGCTCTCAGTGTCAGTTCTGCTCCAATCCCAATAACTACGGACCTCAGTGTGACAAAAGTAAGTGGCCCTTCCAGCACTTCCCTTCCTCTCCTAAGCCATGATCCCTCTTACTCTGTGACAAGCTGATGGTACAGGCGTGGTGTCCTGTGAGATACCTTTGCTTGGTGTACACCAATATCATAGGGCATTTCTCTTCTTTTCTTTCTAATAATATCTTATTCTGGTTTTGGTGAAAGCTTACATAGCACATCAGGTTTCCTTTCAGTAATTTCTACACAAATGGTTCAGTGACACCAGTTACATTCTTCACAATGTGTCAACATGCTCATTATTTCAGTTCTGGTTGTTCCATTCCCAGTAATCTAGCCCCTGACCCCTCACCTTCTCATCTTTGTTTTCAAGTACTTGTTGACTGTTTGGTCTCATATAGATGATTTTTCAAAGGAGCACAGTATTCAAGGAAAATATCCTTTATTTTGGGAACCAATCTGTTGTTTAGCTAATATGTGACTCCAGGGGCCTATTTCAGTTCAAGGTTTAAAGTGTATCTTAGGGCAATGATCTTGGAGAGTGCCTATCTAGTCCAGTAAGTCTGGATTTTTTTAACCATTTGAGCTTCTGTTTCACATTTTTTCCCATTCTATCAGGATCCATCTAGCTCACAGGCCATTTCTTAAGCAGAGGTTCTCAAACTAGATGCACCAGATTGCTGGATTCCACTGCAGAATTTCTGAGTCAGGAGACCTGGGTGGGAGCCCATTTGCATTTCTCATATGTTCACAAGTGATGCTGATGTTGCTGGTTCAGAAACCATACTTGAGAACTAAAGAGATCTTGGGTTCTATATCAAGAAGCCAACTTACTCCCTACCTTTCAAGTACTCCTCTTCCAACAGTCCCTCCATTTACAAGATGCATGACCTTAGACAAGTGACTACACCTCTCTTACTTCTGTTTCCTCATGTGTAAAATGGGAATAACAATTGTAAGTACCTCATAGGGTTAGTACATGTTATAAATGGAAAGCACATGTCTAGCACATAGTATGAGTTACAACATTTCAGCTGTTATTATTGTTGTTGCTATTTGTGTCTCTATTGTTCTAAGTTCAATGACATAGATACCAAGAAACTCATAGAACATGTAGGAAGTTCCTCAACAACAGATGTTGGAGTTGGATAAATTCAGTTATGTAATCATAGCAAATCCATGATGTTCTTTAAAATGGCACCATGTGTCTATTTAAATATACATGCATATTTTAGATACTTATTTCTAAGTTAAGACTAGAACTTAAATTTTAAAGTAAAATGAATGGGGAAGGGCTTACTGTGTGTCTGACTCAATGGCATATAACAACAACAACAACAAACTAAAATCACTCTCCACTTACTGACTGTGTGACCTTGGAAAAAGTCTGGCATGGAGCCTTGGTTTCCCCATTTATAAAATGGAGAGGACATTAGTGCCCACTTCACAGATTGTTGACATAGTTTTGAAAAAAAAAAAAAAATCATTGCCTTCAAGTCAATTCTGACTCATAATGACCCCCACTGGGTTCCCAAGGCAATAAATTTTAATGGAAGTACATTGCCTGGTCTTCCTTCTGTGGAGTGGCTGGTGGGTTTGAACCATCAACCTTCTGGTTAGCAGCCAAATGCCTTAGGCACTACGCCATCAGAGCGCCTTTGACAGGTTAAACTAGATCATAATTCAGGATGTCTAACACACAGTTTACACCTAGCAAGCAATCTTTCAGCAAGGCCATTCTCAATATTACCACCAACCTCACACATTTGTTTTAAAACCCAGACCCTTTCCATCTGTTACTTTGATCTTCACACCTCTCAGGATAAAGGAAAACCAGAACAAAGCAGAGCGTGGGGATTTTAGTCTAGGCTGGGCAATCCTACTTCCGTAGTGATACTGCCTCGGAAACCCAAGGAGGGGTCGCTATGAGTTGGGACTGACTCAACAGCACATAACAACAACAACAACAACAACAGTCTTACTCCACAGTAAGCCCTTCCCCATTCATTTTACCTTATCATTTAAGGTCTAGTCTTAATGAGCTCAAGAGTCAGGGCCACTCTCAGGGCTTCTGAATTCTGTGCCAGTGTTCTTTTTGCTAAATGCAGCTTGTGGGAAAAAGTAATGGCGTATTCCATGGCCTGATATTGTTGGCATTTTTGTGAGGCCAGTGGGACAGAAAGCTGAGGCTGGGGGTCACAGTCAGTGGTGGACTTCTGGCTCTAACGTCCTCCCTCTCAGGTCTGTGGCTGCCCATCTTCTCATGTGATGGAGCCTTTTTTTCTTTCTGGGCTCTTGTTTCTTGCAAATTAAACCCTGACTTGCTTGTTATTGTTGTTGTTATGTGACATCGAGTCAGACCCAACTCATAGCGACCCCTCCTTGGGTTTCCGAGGCAGTATCACTACGGAAGTAGATTGCCCCATCTTCCTTCCGAGGAGTGGCTGGTGGATTTGAACAGCCAGCCTTCTGGTTAGCAGTCAAGTGCCTTAGGCACTACGCTACCAGAACTCCCCTGACATGCTTAGAAGCTCACAAAACATCTTTTCTGCTTCAAGCCAGCTGTGATTGTCCTCCAGTCCTCACTGGTGTTTCTCTTCTCTTCCCTGGTCATTGGCTCCAAGCATCCACGCCAACCCTTCTCCCTCAGTCCCCTCTGGGGCCAAACTTCAGATTCCTTCATTTCCTATTGTACTCCTTTGCCACCTTCTGGTGAGAATCTCTGTGCCCATCTTCACTCCCCTATACAGGAACCTGAGCCTCAAGGGCTGCCTCTCATTATAATTTTAAAATACCTTTAATGAAAAGCAAATTAAGCAGCTAGTTAAAATGACAACCAAAACCCAAACCCAACCAGTTGTGGTTGAGTCGATTCGAACTCATGGCAACCCCAAGTGTTATGGAGTAGAACTGTGCCCCGCAGGGTTTTCAAAGGTGTGACCTTTCAGAAACAGATTCACAGGCCTTTCTTCCAAGGCGCCTATGAGTGGACTTAAACTGTCAATCCTTCAGTTCATAGTCAAGCACTTACCCATTTGTGCTACCCAGGGACTCCAACATGATAACAGGGATGTGGCAATGCCAGTGTGAAATGCTCTATGGTACTTACATTTAGTTACTAATAGAAATGGACTTTGAAATCCTGTGTTCAAGTACTTGCTTTGGAATTTAGCAGCAAGCTGGACAAGTTGCTTCCCTATCTGGATCTGTTTTCTTATCTAGAAGTTGAGAATTACATAGTTCTTACTGCTTGGGGTTGACAATTATTAATGAGAATAAACCAAAAACCAAACCCACTGCCATTGAGTTGATTCCAACTCATAGCAACCCCCATTGCATTTCTAAGGCTGTAAATCTTTACAAAAGTAGATTGCCCTATCTTCCTTCCACAGAGTGACTAGAGGGTTTGGACTACCAACCTTCTGGTTAGCAGTCAAATGCCTTAGGCATCACACCACCAGAGCTCCTTATTAATGAGAATGGGACATGTTAAATGCCGGTCCAGTGCCCAGATATTGGCCATTAGTTGTCCTTGGTTGGCTGTGCTAGAGAATGGAGGACAAATACTGGAGATACACATCATGGGAGTGCTGACCTAGAGATCATTCTATTCATTCCAGAATGGCTTCATAAAAAGACCATAAAGTTTTGAGAATTGAGTTCCTTGACCTCTTTCACACCATCACATCCACCCTCACATCCCCACACACAAACATACACATCTGAAATAGCCCCAAGACATGGTCCCACCAAGTGCCCTCCCAGGCACACAGAGAAACATGAGTCCCTAAGAAATAGAAGCCAGAGCCTTCTCCGCAGGTTCTGCTCTGATAGGATAACGAAGGGCTGAGGGAGGTGGTCCCTGTCCCACATGATGTGTCTCAGTGTCTCAGTGTCTCAGTGTATCCCTCTTCCTTTCCTGCCAGAATGTCTGTGCCTTCATGGAACATGTGACAACAGGATAGACAGTGACGGAGCCTGCCTTGCCGGCACTTGCAGAGACAGCTCCGCTGGGAAGTTCTGCAACAGGCAGACCTCAGCCTGTGGGCCCTACATGCCGTTCTGTCACATCCACGCCACCTGTGAATACAGCAATGGGACAGCCAGGTAGGGCACCACCCTTAACAGCCCACAGCCAATATGCCACCGTATCTCAACTTGTTGTTAATGCAGCCCAGTTCTCTCCAGCTGCAGATGTGACTTTGTAGAAAAAAACCTAAGTGGGGTTCAAATTGCAGCATTCCTTATGTAGAAACTTACCAGCTGTGTCACCTTGGACAAGTTACTAAACCTCTCTGAGTCTCTCTTTCCTCAACAGTACAATATGGATGATGTTATCTATCTTCCAGGGCAATTATGGAAAGTAGATAAACTGAATACAAAAGCACCCAGTCCCTGAGATGCCATGTAATAGTCTGCAGTCATGGAAACTATTAGTATCATCACTTACATGAAGGAAATGAAGATTTGCTGACCGAACTTCCAATGACAAAAAACAGTTGTAGTTGAGTCCACTCCAACTTATGATGACCCATGTGCTTCAGAGTAGGACTGGGCTCCTCAGGGCTTTCAATAGTTGTAATCTTAGGGAATTAGCATTTTCCCACAGCACCCTTATGTGTATTTGAACCATCTATCTTTCTGATAATAGCTGAGCATAAACTGTTTGTGCCACTGAGGAACTCTTCCAAATGCAGCTCCCCTATTAAAGGCATCTTGCTGGGTATTGGGTCTAACATTGGACCACCATTTGTTTCCTTAATACTTCAAATATATGCAGTAGCTTTTGGAAGGAAAATATCAGATAAAATTTTCCTCTCCAGGAATATCTGTCTCAAAGGCAGTCCCAAAAAACAAATCCATTGCCACTGAGTCGATTCCAACTCACAGTGACTCTGTAGGATAGAGTAGAACTGCCCCCACAGAGTTTCCGAGACTGTTAATCTTTATGGAAACAGATTGCCTAATCTTTCTCCCACAGAGTGGCTGGTGGGCTCTAACAGCTGACCTTTCAGTTAGCAACCAAGGGCTTTAACTACTGAACCATCAGAAATCTTTTCAAAAGCAGTAACCACTCAAAATATCCTGGATAACGCACAGAATGTCTGGAATTTGTGGACCTTATTTTTAAAGCACTTGGTGCTTTAAAAAGCCTTGGTGTTTAAAGCAGTTGGCCATGAACTGAAAGGTCAGTGGTTCAAACCTACCAGCCCCTCTGAGGGAGAACGATGTGGCAGTCGGCTTTTGTAAACATTACAGTGTTGCAAACCCTATGGGGCAGTTCTGCTTGGTTTTATAGGGTCAGAATCAGAATCAACTTGCCAGCAGTGGGTATGGGTTTATTTTTGCACCACTTTTCTTCATTTGAATTGTACAGTCATTTGCTTACTTATTTATAGTCTGTTTCCCCCACTAGCCTGTAGATTGCATGCAGTCAGAGACTATGTCTTCTTTCCCTAAAATTGTACAATGGAATACATCTTTCAAAGCAATTAGGATCAATATCAATGCATAAGGCAAAAATCACATGTACTCAGAATTACCCTAAAAACTCTTAAATCACCCACAGTGGACTGCAAAAGTGGGTCTGTAGAAACTATATAGCCTTAGAGAAGTCAATGCTGGGAGATATCATCATTTGGTCACCAGGTATGGTATGCGGTTTCTACAGAAGTCTTGATAAGTGAAAAATAATTATAATTGTTGGTAAAGCATAGGACTGAATTGGCAGGAGTTATATGGGAGTATGATGGGTGCCCCAGCACCCATCACAGGTCACTCAATAAATATTTGTTGAACAAACAAATGAACGGCCCTACATTTAATGGTGATAGTATCACATTGGAACGTTCTGAAAGCAGTGTGTCGGAGAGTGTAATGTGTCAGGAAACCATGTCAGTTCATTAATGAGGCACCAAGAGTGTTCTGCTAGAAAAAAGAAAACTTCAGAGGACCAGCGAAGGGGCCGGGGACAGCCCTCACCGGATCCCCACCTCTGAACCAGAGGTAATATAGCATCAGGGAGGAGAGTTACAAAGAGGCAGGTAACCTCTGCCCACTCAGAGCTGAAAAGCTTGCATGTACTGAACCTTATGTTGAGCAGCTGCCCTGCTAAGAGCTCCACAGGCAACAGCTCACTCACTCTTCCCCTCAGCCTGATGAGCAAGGTGAAATTATTACTCATGCTCCAAATGAGAAAGCAAAGCCTCCCAGATGTTGAGGGACTCACACAGTCATAGCGCTGCTCAAGAAGCAGGATCTGGATTCACACCTAGATATCTGACCACAGACCCCAGAAGTGGGGTCTTCATAAACTGTCAAGCCACCTGACCATGAACCAGTCAGTTCACCCCTGTCTGCCTGGCCCTTTTAGGGGTGATTGATGCTTATATTTCTGTGGTTACTTGTGTGCCCTTTTCTTTGCAGCTGCATTTGCAAACCAGGATATGAAGGGGACGGAACCGTCTGCTCAGAAGTGGACCCTTGTGCAGGATTAATCCCTGGGGGCTGCAGCCGCAACGTGAGTGATGGTTCTCATTTCCAAACTGCTTAGCTTTTGAAGAGATCCTGAGGAAACCATTCCAAAAGGCTGCATCGGAACCCTTTTCACAGGCGTGAAGCACTTGTGTTTGAAGCTTGTGGAAAATTCACTTTCAAAATAGCTGCCGGGTGCCTTCCATGAGGCTCTTCTTCCTGATACCTGCAGGGGGCGCTCCAGACATGCAGGGCGCTTTGGACTCTTAAACACCCAGCCTGAAAATCAGATGTTGAGATCAATAGTAATAAACTGTTGGTTCAGCCTTTACAGCTTACGAGGGACTTGAATGTATGGGATCTCGTTTGCTCTTCCCACCAACCCAGTGAAGCAGATATCGTTCTCCCCATGTTACTGGTTATGAAACTGACATTCAGGAAGGCATAGTGACTTCCCCTACGTTCTGTTAGGGGAGATAGCCAGAACCCACCATCACCTTCACTAATACCTTTCAAATATCGTACCACCACCTCCCTGGCCCTCTTGTGGTTGGTTGGTGTTGCCATTGAGTCAATTCCAACTCATGGCAACCCAAGAGGAGAACTGCATTCCACAGGGTTTTCAAGGTGGTAACCTTTCAGAAACAAATCACCAGACCTCACTTCTGAGGTATCCTTGGGTGGATTTGAACTGCCAACCTTTCGGTTAGTTGTCCAGCTCTTAACCATTTGTGCCACCTTCATTCTTTACCTATCATTTGATCACCA